CATTACGCACTGGTAGGAAATGTCTTCATTCTTAACGGTGCAACTTTATGTCAACTTACTTTGAAATATCGTTCAGATTCCAAGTTTTTTTCTTGGTATTTAAAAAAAATATTTGTTATTCAAATATTACACTGTATATAACTTGCGTTTTGTAGTACAATATTTGTTTTTAATGGTTTCTGAGGCAATATACCAGAAATTTGTATGACTATCACAAATATTGTTCAGTTGCATGCTGTGTCCTGTACATGTATATACTATGCATGAATATAAGTGATCAGCTATCAACGGTGATGTCTATGCTATGTTCTCAGTCTAGGTAAATTCCAAACATTCTGCAGTAATACGCTGATGCTGTGACAAGAATACTGTGACGTTTTAGATAACAGAACAGCATATGGGACAATTTTATGGAAGCCATTCTCCCAACCAAGAGTCATAATGGGCATAATGTACCCTACTTTTCAATGTTCAGCAGGCTGCTGACAATTTGTATGACCATCACCAATATTTTTTAGTTGTATGTTGTCACTTGTACAGTGAGCGACGGTGATGTCTATGCACAACAACAATCTGGCAGATACGTTTGCTTTTGATGATTTTTAGCACTGAAATAGCAGCCAATTGGCAGTCTTCAATTGGATCATGAAACAAATACATGTGCGTGTACATGATGTGATTTATGATGTATGTGTGAAATATGAATGTCATGTTTCGTCTGGTATACAGGTGTGGACGAACAGACATAGGTAAAATTGCAAGTAATTATTTGCACACACCTGACTTATTTTGAAATCCAGCATATTAATTCTAAATTTGCATAATAATTAGCTAATTTTAAGTTGTTCGACTGATATATAAACCAAAGAATGTACTTAAAAAAAAAAAGTGGTCTGGGATACTTCACAAACTAGAAATTACCCATTAAATCAATTTCTTCTTTTTAATATTAAATCTGGAGTATTTTTGATAGTACATGTATTATCAGCTACAATTCTATAAAGTAGATTACTTTGACATTGTGCATCTCAAAAAGAGCACTTTATCTATTTGTTTCAGTGAAATCATTATGTACCATTTACCGGTAATATTGCACATGTGTACAATTGAAACAACAAGTAAAATATTTTATTCTTGACGAAGGCATTGGTGCCATCAAAGCACCATGAAAGCCGTGTACCACAGTGGATTATCCACCAATCACACAGTAGATACTGCATTAAACTTGACCACAATGTCAAAAACAATATGTGAACATATTATTACCATAAACTGTGTTTCAATGTATCAACATTCAATATATATATATGTACATCTTGCAAGGAACATATCTAATACAAACATTTGTGATCTTTTTCTTCTTCTATTGAAGTATCTTGGTTCTATTTCCTGAGCACAACATTTACAGTTGTTTGCAATTACTTTCTTACTGGGGTTTTGTTATTGAGACACTATCTCTAGCTAGTCATAGAATATAGTCTTTAGCATAAATTTCAAACATTCTGCAGTAATACACTGATGCTGTGACAAAAATACTTCGATGTTTTAGATAACAGAACAGCATATGGAACAATTTTATGGATGCCATTCTTCCAACCAAGATTCTTAACAAATGAGCATAATGTACCCCATACTCCTTTATTCATTGTTCAGTGGGCAGCTGACAATCTTTCTGAGGCTTGTTAACCACCAGCATTTGATACACTATTCAGTAACCTTTACTGACTGTGATGTAGATGTTGTATTGTGTAAATGCATTACATTGAGTTACGAATAAATAGAACATTATTGTAATTCAATCTGCTGTTTTTGTATAACCATCAGAGTTAGTTTTGCCAACATTTAATTGGGCTAATCACCATCAATGCGTGACTGACAATAACCAATAAAGCACTCACAATTGAATGAACCATGTTCTTTTCTAAAAGAAATAAAATAGAGCTATCTTTATTGTCATGATTATATCAGGGAAATTTGCATATTCATTATATTCAGTCACGACACTGTTACAGCGAAATTTATTGAGCATTGAGCATCGGGACTGGAATAGATTAAACAAAGCTTCCATTGCTGCAGTGTTTTTGATAGTTGAACTATATGTTGTAAAAAATAATATTTCAATTTTTTTATTAATGTTAAGGATGTCATATCTAGTAATAACTCCCAGGATGACATTTATGTAACAGTAGAACACAATCTTGATAACATTTACCACATATGGTGTAATAATTATGTTGTTACATCGCCTTCATTTCAATATTGAGAAAAAAATGTACAGATATAGTTATCAACAAACAGTAATACACTGTCATAACATTGCATGCAAATCAAAAAGTTGTTTCAAATTCAAGGTCAGAAATTATGCATGAATCAAATCATAATGTAAACACAAACAAATTACAAACAAACAAACAAACTATAAATGAGTATGATATATTTCATCAATTTGGATGCCACTACTGTAAAATACTTTCGCTTGGAATTAATTTTCACTATTTTCGCTGAAGGAATGATTAAGTGAAAATAAAATCCAGCGAATATACTTTTTTACCTTTA